GCCGCCCCTCGCCCTGACAGACGCGGGCCAACCACCAACCAAGCGCAGGCGCCTCTCGAAAGCACAGCGGCTGCAGAACCGGCTGCAGCAGCTTGCGCCCGCAGGCCCAGAACACCGCGGCGACAAAGGCGAAGCCGCCGACAAGGGCAAGCCGGCCGGGGCAAGCAATAAGGGCAAGGGCGCGCGCAAAGGCACCGCGCACGCACACCCCGCGGCGGGCCAGCCCGAGCCGACCAAAGGAGGCGGCAAAGGAGCGTGGTGCGTAAGGCACATCGAAGGGAATTGCCAGCACGGCGACCGCTGCTGGCATCGCCACGAGTGACTAGGGGCTGCAGGCTCCGCGCAACAGGGGCAGCCGGAGCCGAGCACGACAGGCGGTCCTGCGAGCGGCCGCGCCCCGCCGTTTGCCCGCGCACCACGGGCACCGCGCGGCGGCGCGACCGACCCAGCCGCGCCCCCACCGGCAGCGTGCCGACAGTTTCACCCCGCCACCGACGACTGGGCTCAAAGCCGTCCACAGCGGGACCCACCGTAGTTTCACACTGGGGCGACCGGCCGGGACCAGCGCCGGAAGCTCAACCCGCGGGCGCGCACCAGCCCGCAGAGCCGCGCCACCGCGGCCGCCACCGCACAGCCCACGAAGGGCGACCCAGGTCCACGCCCGCGCACGAGCACCAGCCCGCCTCAGCACCGCGGCGCGGGCACCCTCGCGTCCTCAGGCGGCACCACCAATGCCCCAGACCCAACGGGCAGCACCTGCAGCGGCATCACCATGGTCGATTATGCAGCGAGGCTCCACGACCCTGCGGCCGAACAAGAATTCGACGCCGTCGACACAAACCAGCTGCCGCCCTACGCGCCGCCGCCCGCCGACCCGCGCAGCCAGCAAAGCGCGCGCAGAGACACCGTGCCGTGGTACGCCGAGGACACTGCCCCCCCGCCACAGCACCCTGCCGCGCCAGGCAGAGCAGCTAAAGGCTTTACACAGCAGCAGCGGGCGATCTCGCCGAACCAGCACGTGACCACAAACGATATAATAAAAAGAAAAAGAAAAACCAAAAAAAAATACCAAAACAATAAATAAAAAAACAAAAACCACCAAAAAATAACCACAACACAAAAAATAAAAAGAAAATAAAAAAAATAAAACATACCAAAGAAAACAAAAAACAAACAAAAAAACAACAAAAAAAACCAACAAAAACAACAAAAAGCACGTGGACATGATAATGGCCTGGGACCGGCAACAACGCCAGCCCGCGCCCCAGTGGGCGGAACCGCCCGCCGTGCGCACGCCAGCGCCCATCCGTAGCGCACTGCTCTGGGCGCGCGACTGCCCCGACTACGAACGCTGGGTAATCGGGCAGGTGCAGTACTGGAATCGCGCCGAGGCATCCCTGAGCGGCGCGCCGGCCTCTCACAGCACGTCAAAGACGTGTTGCCGCCAACATACAACGGCCCACTGCACAGGGAGCTGCTCCTGGCTTCCGGCCATGACGACACGGAGGTCATCGCCGACATCACGGCGGGCTTCCGCATGCGGGGCGCCCTCCCAGACACGCGGCTCTACGAGCACACCGACAGCGCAGATCTGCCTGACGCCGCCGAGCTGGACAGCGCTCTCGAGCTGGCACTGGGCAACAGGGATGCCGCACTTCGGGAAATGCTCCTGAACACTAAGCGGGAGCCAGACATGGCCGAGGTCCTCCGGGTCACCGAGGCCGAGCGCGTGTCGGGCAAGCTCGATGGGCCCTGGGAAGTATGGCTCGACCACACCGGCCAGGTGCGCTCCACCGTGCCGTTTGCCAGATGGTTACCAACGCGGCGCTTCCCGCGCGTCCAGAACCGCACCGCCACTTCATACAAGGTCCGGCCCATAGACGACGCCACGGCAAGCGGCCTGAACCTCGCAGCAGCCACCCAGGAGCGCATGAGGATGGCAGGCATCGCCTCTCTCCTCGACGCGGTCGCGTTCATAGCAGAGGAGTTCCACGAGTGGGGCGATGACGGCGTTCCCCTCATCGCAAAGGGCGACCACGCGCAGGCCTACCGACAATGGCCGGTACATCCAGATGACATTCCACTGCTGGTGTGCTTGGTCTGGGACGACACCGTGGGTCCAGAGGGCGGATTCCGCGCCTTCGCGCACAAGGCGCTCCCCGTCGGGGCCTTCGGAGCAGTCTGGGGGTACACGCGCGTCGCCGCCAGCGTGATTCACCCGCTCCGCCGCATCTTCAGCGTGCCCCAGAACGCGTATGTGCCCCGGCCAGGTGGGCCGCCCTGCACGAATGGGCGTTCCAGGAGCTGCACGCCATGCTCGGTATCCCGCTCAAGGACGGCAAGAAACAGGGACCAGCGGCCGTGCTGGATCTGCTCGGACTGGACGTCATCTCCACCGGGCACTGGGCGGGACTGCGCCTCACCGTCAAGCGGCGCGACGACCTGGCCGCGGACGTGGACTCCGCGCTCCGCGCGCGCCGCCTCAGCAGGCGCGACGCGGCCCGACTCGGAGGACAGATGGGCTTCGCCACCACGGCAATGTTCGGCCGTATCGGCCGAGTATACGCCTCCAACGTGTCGGCGCACCGAGGCGGCTGGTCCGAACGCCTCGCTGACGCGCTGGCGTGGTGGAAGGCGCTGCTGCGCTGCCCGATTTACCACAGGCGCGTCCACGGCGACCAGCGGCCCGTCGTCCTCGGATGGGTCGACGGGTCATGGGACATGGACACCGGCACGGGGGCCATCGGGGGCATGCTGTTGTCCTCGCAACGCAGCGGCCGCAGCTTCTCGGCGCGCATCGCACCTGTGCGCGGAGCTGCTGAGGGTCGGCAAGAAGCAGCGAAACACACAGTCCGAGCTGCTCGCCGTACTGGTGCTGCTCCTCACCTGCCCCGACGAGCTCCGCGGGGCCCGGTTGATCCTCTTCGAGGACAACACGCCCGCGCTTGAAAACATCATCAGCGGCGCCGCCAACGACGATCACAGCAAGGACATCGTCGGAGCGATCTGGCTCCTGCTGGGAGTCCTCGGCGTAGAATTGTGGATCGAATGGGTCGCGTCCGAGAGCAACCCCGCGGACGCTTTCTCGCGACCTGGAGAACCGGAGAAGCAGGCCGAGGCAGCGGCGCTGTCCCGGCGCTACAGCCTCAGTGCGGCAGAGCCGCGTTCCCCCACCTCGTTCCGCATGGACGCCGGGGCTTGGGCAGCTGCCGTGGCGGCCGCCAAGGAGGACTGGGCGCGCAACGACCGGCGACGCCGTGCCCTGACCGCGCTGCGCTTGGGCTCCGTGGACGCAGGCACCCTCGCGGCGCTCCTGGGCGCGATCACGTTCGACTCGGATGACAAGCAGGTCACGCTCGGGCGGCTCCGCACCCGCCGCGCCGGCGTCGTGGCTGCCGCGACGCAGTGCCACACTGAGCTGCTGCGCCTCTTGTGCGTTGCAGCGCGGCCGCACGCCCGCGCCCACGGCACCGCTGCCGTGGCCCTGCGCCAGGGAACGCCGCCGCGAGCGCCGCCAGGGGCCGCGCGTTGCAACGCGGCCTGCATCGTTCGAGGAGTTGGCAGCCGAGGCTCTGCGACCATCGACTGGCTGCAGTCCGTGCCCACCCCAGAGACCGCGAAGCTGGACGCGAACGACGTCGTCGTTGGCTTCTACGCGGTCCCCATCGACGGCATAAAGGAGCGGGTCCGCTCTGCCCCGCTGCGCAAGCTCGGCCTGGACGTCGCGCGCGCGGGCCCTACCGCGCTGTCGCGGCTCGCCGCCGCGCGCCGCTAGCTGGCGCCCCCCCCCCGGCTGGCTCGCTGGAGCAGCCGCCGCAGCGCCGCGCCTGGCAGGACCGCGCCGACGCCCAGCACGGCGAGCACCCTGGAGGCGCTAGAGGCTACATACGGGGGGGGCGTTCGCTGCAACCACCGCAAAGGAGGGTTGCCCCCGTCCCCCGCCGTCCCCGGTTCGCTTGTCTCCGCTCCGGGACCGAGCGGTTGCGGCGCACGTCCCCCCAACGGCAGAAGCCCGCGACACGCGGGGCAGGGCGAGTCAGGGGGAGTTAGAGTGTAACGGCCAACACTACAGGTGGCAGGCGGCCCTCGCACTACCTGTGGGGGAGCGGGCCGACCTGCGTATTTCGGGGACTCGACCATGTGATTCGGTGCCCCGTGGCGTGATTGTGTCGTGGCACCTCCCCCTTGACTTTGCCACTAAAAGATGCGCGCCCCCCTTCCCCTCTCCTCGCTCACCCTCTTTCCGCCTGGACACGTCCAAGGCCGCCGCCGCGGTGCCGCGCCGCGGGGCCTCGAGGCGCGCGGTGGGTATGGGACGCTGCCCGCCCTCCGGGGTGTCGGGCTGGGCCCGCAACCATCGCCGCCCGAGGGCCCGCGGTTGTGCGTTGACTTTAGGCTCGGGGAGGCTCGGGTCAGGGAACCATAATCATGACAGAAGGGGACGCCCGCGCGCGCTCGCAGGGACTGCGCGCATCAGAGCGCGCAATTGGATCGTGCGAGCAAAGCGCGTTGGCGACAGCGGTTGCTGTGGGTTTGTTTCTTGCTTGTGTGCTGCTTGATGGCCGGGCAGCGCGGAGAGCTCTTCATCGAAGAATTTTTAGATTGGAGGGTCGATTCCTCCGAGCGCGAGTCCCTTTCTGCGCTCGTGCAGAGAGAGGGACTGGAGTCGGCTGGCGATTTAGCGCATTTGTTTTGCTCGACGGACGAGGCGGAGCAGTGTGGAGTGCCCACGGCCTGGGCCGTGGCTCGGGACGTGGCGCGGGTGACGCCGTGGCTGGTGCCCGCGCATGGCATTTGCGCGGAGGGGCGATTTGGCGGCGCGGCGGCGGCCGCCGCGCCCGCCGTGAGCGCGGGGGCCGCGGCGGGGAAAGGGCGCGGGCCGGCCGAGACGCTGTGCCGCAGTGGCGACGGAGGCGGCAGAGCGTGAGGGGCGCGTTCAGCTGGCGGTCAGCGTAGTTCGAGTGTCGCTTGAATGGCGCCCGGAAAGCGGCCTCGGGCAGGGGTTGCAGGAGGCGCAGGCCGAGATGCTCGCCGACGTCTCGTCCGCGGCGGTGTTTAGGCTGAGTAATTTCGAATCCGGGACGCTGCGCACGGCCTTGCGCGTGCGGGGGCAGTGGGCCGAGTGGGCGGGCCGGCAAGGGCAGCCGGCGACGAGTCTGGCGCGGCAACCCATGGCAGTCGCCGAGTTCGTGCATAAGCTCTCGATCGCACGGGCGTCCGGCGTCAGGATCTGGAACGCCTTGAAGGTGGATGTGCGTACATTTGAAAGCGCCTTTCTGCCTGGACGATGCGTTTCGCCCTGTGCCACGTGATCCAGGCAGTGGAACCGTAGCACCGCCGGCCCAGGCCACTGTCGTCGAGTCCGAGATGATTTACCATGTGATCGATTTCCTGGATGGCGCGAGAACGCCTGGGCAAGTCATGCTCGCGGCTGGGATGCTGGCGGTGGTATTCGCGTGGGTGAGGTACACGCACCTGCTGCGCTCTAGGCCTTTAGAGAAGTCTGTTTATTTTTGCTGGTTCCGCGCATCGAGGGGGAAGCAGGGAAAGCGTCAGGGGCGACCTTCGTTCGATTGGTGCTTGCCGAGGCGGCTAGGTGGCGCGCGGTCCGCCGCTGACGCCTTGTGGGATGGTTGGCACAAGTTGGCGGCGCGGGAAGATCGAGCAGGAAGGGCTGTGCCGACGGGGCTCGTCTTCGATCCAGTTTCCGGCGCGCCGGTGAAGATGGGTGCCTTTAACCGATCGCTGAAGGAAGTATTCCGAGGCTCGCTAGCGGACGATTCCCAGTTGGATCTTGTGACTTCGTACAGTTTGCGCCGGGCTGGGCCTACATGGGCGAGCGCGATACAATTGGACTGGGAAGCCCGAGTCATCTCGGGCGGTTGGACGGAGGGGGGAGACAACCCCCGTCGGAACCAGATGCCGATCGTGTATAATGCGCGTCGGCGGCAAGCCGAGATGTGCACGCGCCTGCACATGGCCGGAGTGTTGTCGTGCCTGCGGACCGATCTGGAGGCCCCAGCGCAGTGGGAGCAAGTGCGATGCTGGGCGAGTTCTGCGCCAGGAAAAGTAATGATGGCCGACCTAGAGAAAGAGGCGCAGCAGCGGGTGGCGGTGTCGACCGTTCGTGAGAAGGCCGCGTTCTTGCCCCCGTCGGTCGTCGAGGAGTTGAGGCGGCAGAAGTTTCTCCGGATAATCGTGGCCCCGCGTGGACAGCGGGTGGGGCGCGGTAAAGCGCCGGGCGCGCCTCCACCCAATTGTCGGGGTCCTGCCGACGGGGCGCCGCGGGTAAGAGCGGTGAGGGGGGGGCGGGCGCCGAAGCGCCGGGCGCGCGTGCCAAAGCGGGGGCGCGGTAAAGGCTCAGGAAAAAAAAGAAAAAAAAAATAAAAACAGGGGAAAAAACCACACAGACACAAATATCGTCGACTCCCATATATCGTCGACTCCAGGAAAATTATGCGAAAATATGGGAAGTGGGGGGGAAAGACAGAAACCCAGAAAATATGGAAAATATGGGGAATCATTTTATTTGTGTGTAATTTATTTGTGTGTCCTAATTTCCCTGTTAAAACTGCGCCGGGCGGTTTGCGTGGGAACGCGTTGCCTGCGCCTGCGAGTCCACGCAGAGCGCCGAAAGTAGCCGGCAAAAACAAGCGACCAGCAGAGGCGGGAGCGCGCGCCAGTCCGGCGTCGGTTGCCATTGCGGGCCGCGCAGGGCGAACCGCGGGTCGATCGCGCGGCCCAGCGGTATTGTGCCCGGGCGTGGGCGGCATTGAAGGCTGTCTCCATCCCCAGGTCCAGGGGAGATGAAGTGTCGGTGCGGCCGGGAGACGCAACCCGTGCAGGCCCGGCCGCGTTCCAAGCGCGGGGAGATGACTGCGCCGGTCGCGCGGTGACCGCGCTTCCAGGTGACGAGGCAGCGCAGGGCGCGGAGTTGGGTGAATGTGACGTAAAGGGCTCAGATGGCGCGCCAGCGCACCGCGCGCCGCCAGTCAGGCAGGTTGCGGAGGGATCATCCGCGCGCGCGTCGCGAGCCGTGGGCCCGTCGCCCGAGCCGCGGGGCGCGATCGGGTACGTGCAGTCTGAGCCTGGGAGGGCTACCCGGGTAAGGGAGGTTATGGGGCCTCGATATCACGTCGCGATGCCCGTAATTCGTCGCCTCAAAAAGTCCAGAGCCTGGACGGACAGTGAGTTCGGGCCAGTGACGAACCTATGTCAGAATGGATTGAATGATCTGCAGTGGTTCCCGGCGCTCCCGGAGGGAGCCCTGGTGTGCGCGGCGTGTGAAAAGTTGCGCGGCCGGGCAGCCCCGGCGTGAGGTGGTGACGTCATCGCGGCGGCGACGCGCGGAGTTGCGCGTGGGCTTGCCAGCGAATGCCAACTTAACGGATGCGTATGCGCGCCCCGAGGTGGGCTCGAACGCGGTCCAGAGAGTAGGTTTAGCGGAGCGACACGTGTGGTTCTCGGTATGTCTTTGTCAGTTGACGGCATTGCGCTGCCGGGGCGCGTCGGCGCTCGCGACGCCGCTGCACAATTCAGAGAGCTGGCCGCGAAGTATCAGTTTGATGAGCGCATCGCCACCCACCAGGTCGAAACCGTGGGTCTAGAGACGTTGGTCGATTTCGCGCATGCCGTCACGAGCGAGAACGAGTGGGCGCCGATCCTCGAGCGCGTGCCGGATCTCGAGAGGAGGCTGGGACAGCTGCCCCGCGTGCGCCAGGCGCGGCCTTCGCCTGCGCGGGGGGGGGTCCTGCCTGGCCCGCGCCGCAGTTCGAGCGCGTAGTGCGGCAGGCGTGGAACGCCGTGTGCGATGCCGCCCGGGAGTCCGAGACCCGGAAGAGGCGCGGTTTGGACGAGAGCGACGATGTCCCATTGCCGTCGCCGCAGCTCGCTGAATTGAGCGAGCAGTTCTTCGCTCGGTATAAGATGGCGTACCCAGCGGAGTGTGAGCCGTCCGAAGCGCTGGTCAGTACGATCAGCAGGGAGCTGGGCAGGCGCCAGGTGACGATGATGAGTGTATGGAAGGTCCGCACGTTGCTGAATGCCGCGAGGGCTGCCAGGAAGCGGCAGCGCATTGGGGATGTCGAATTCGTGTGCGATGAGAAGGAAGATCCGGATCCCGCGAAGGACTTGAAAACCTATATCGCGTTGCACCAGGTTCTCATGGTGGCATGCGCGCGCGCTGGGGTGAAGCCGATTGACCTGGCGCCCGGGACGCCAGAGAAGGCGTCTTCGGATACGACGGATTTCGTGCAGATTCCGTTGGATGTCGCGATGGCCTACCATTTCCGTTTGGTCAAGTACGCAAGTGCGATGCCGTTCTCGATTGCGCTGCCTAACGTCGTGCGTCGGGACGAGGAGGAGCGCGCTTGGTGGACGGACAGGGTCCGCACCAGCGAGCTGAGCGTCGGGAAGATAATCCGCGAGGGCTAGCAGACTCGCGAGGTCATGTGGAGCCCGCCCTCACCGCCAGCTCCCGGGCCGCAGCGGCCGCCGACGAGCGTCGGGCGGAGCCAGCGGACAGGTGGCAAGGGCGCGCAGTTGGGCGATCGGTTGAAAGACGGAACCCAGGTGTGTCGCAAGTTCAACGCCGGGGAGTGCACCGAGCCGTGCCCTCGCGGGTATAAGCACGTCTGTTCCGTCGTGATCAACAAGACGGGGCGTTTGTGTGGCATGTCGAACCACTGCGCCCTCAAGTGCACCAGGAGCCCGGGTCTAAGTTTTTGGTTTCCCTGTTAGCTTAAAGGGGGCGGCCCGGGTCCGGGGGCGCCCTGGGTCCGGGAAAGGCGACGGTTAGCGCCGAATGTTCGGAACACCCGGCGTTGTAGATTGCGACACGAGGAACGCGAGCGGGGGCGCGGCCGACGGCGGCAAGCGCGGCCGCAAGGGCGATTGAAACGCACCCGCTGCCGCGCCGCCCGCCGCGGCAGAAGGGGCAGTCACCAGTGGGGTCGCGTGCCCCAGCGTCGTGGGCGTGCGATGGAGCCAGGCGGACATCGATGTGAAAATTCGGAAGTCCTTTCCGGAAGAGTGGCTGGTGGGCGTTCCCATCCCGTTATTGCAAGACTTGTTGAATACTTCGCCATTCGTTGATTTCGCCATCTGGGCGGAGCTGCAGGACGAAGGACTAATTACCTCTGGGATGTTCTCTGGGCAGAAATTCCAAGGGGCGCGCGAGCGCCGTGTTGGGTCGCCAGGCAGGCGTGCTCGACCACAGGCTAGCGCTGGCGCCGGTTATCGAACACGGCGTGGGGGAGCGGGCACACCTCGCTCAATGCATCGAATTCGCGAGCGCGGGGCGATTGCCATTCGACGATGAGTACATTGCACCCGTTGATTTGAAGTATGCTGCCTTTGCCACGGTTGCGTTCGCGTGGGCCGGTGGTAATCGGCTGAGGCAGTGGCGCGAGTCTTGCGCCGGGGCGTTGAAGGAGCTTAGTCAAAGGCTGGCGCCGGTGTCCCGCGCCCTTCGGCTCAGGCAAAGCCCCTCAGTACATGCCGTGGCGCAGAACACCCACATCGCGCTGATTTGTGTTCTGACTTGGGTGATGGGTTGGCCGGATTGGCAGCTGGCCCAGAGATTTGTGACCGGCTTCAATATCGTGGGGCGATTGGAGGAGACGGGTGTCTGGGAGCGGTGCGAAAGTTCGGAACCTGTTTCTGAAGACCGCTTGTTGGCGGAGTCCACCGCGCTTTTACGGTCCAGGGACAAGCGACGGGTTGATCCTGAGGCTGAGTTTCTTGTGAGCGAACAGCCGAGGCACGAATGCTGTCTCGCGGGCACAGCAGCGAGGACGCGATGCGCGTGCGTCCGCGCGCCCCGCAGCGAGCGCGTGAGGTTGCGAGGGGCGCTTCGCCGCGAGGCGACGACACGCGAAACGCGAGAAAGATGGAGCCGCGGGTTTGTCGGATGCGCCGCGGCTAGGTCGCCGCGGAGGGAGCGCACGCGAGCGTTCACCGCGGCACCGGCCAGCCTTGCCGCGCACAGGAACAGTCATGCGTGGCGGCTAGGCCGCCGCGGAGGGAGCGCGCGCGACCCGTCCGCGGCACCGACCAGCCTTGCCGCTCGCAGGTTCCATAATTGTTTGCGGCAGGCGGGGCGCCCATCTTCCTGTGGGCGCGTTTCGCGCACGCGACCGGTGGTCCACGCAGCGGACCCGCTTGCAGTCCCGGTCGAGTCGCTCGCCCTCCGCTTCGCCCGCCGCGCGCGCAGGTTCCTCCTCCTTCTCCCGCGCGCGCGCAGGACAACCGCGGCCCCGCCGAGGCGGGCGGGCCGCGTTGGCTCAGCGCGCGCAAGACCAATCGCGGCCCCGCCGAGGCGGGCGGGCCGCGCTCTCGCGCGCGGGCAGATTGATTTCGACCCGCCGAGGTGGGCGGGCCGCGCGATGCGCCCAGGCCGAAGGGCGCCCCGTTCTGGCCCCGTCGCCGCGTCGTCGTGTCGTCGTTGGCGCGTCGCGCCGCCGCCGCCGCCGCTGCTGCCGCTGCGCCGTCGCGTCCGTGTCGCGTCGGCTCGTCGTGCTCTGACGCGTCGTCGTCGGGGCGTCGTGCTGCCGCTCGCCGCTGCCGCCGGTGTGTCGCTGCGGCCGTCGCCGTCGTGCCCGCCGCCGCCGCTGCGGTGGCCGCCGCCGCCGCCGCTTCGTGTCCCGCTTCCGCTTTGGCCCCGGCGGGGCCTGCCCCGGCTCCGGTGGGGCCCGCTCCGGCCCTGGTGGCGTCCCGGTCCCTCCCTGGGCGCCGGCCCTGGTGGCGTCCCGGTCCCTCCCTGGGCGCGGTGCTCCGCTCCTTCGTCGCCTCTGCTGGACGCGGCTCGTTTCGCGGCGGGTGCGCTGGGTCCCGGGCCGGCGCCCCGTCCGCTCCTCGTCGTTTTGCTTGGCTCGAAGGTTCTTTTCTGCCCATGGTCGGGCATCTGCGCAAGTGTGCGCACGGGGCTCGTGGACTCGCGGCAGGAGATCTGGGTTGTTGTGACACCCAGACTACCTGCTGCAAGTCCGCGAGTACCCACCCCGGCGCCTCGCGCCCGCACTGGCGGGCAGGCGGACCGCCTGGGACATCCGTACCTGCGTTCGGCTCGTGTCGGTCGGCCCGGATCGGCCCCGGTGCCAGGCCGGCCCGTCCGGACTCCTGCAGAGACGGCGACTCGCGTTGCCCGTGCAGTCCCGGTCGAGCGCGCCAGACGCAGCGCGCGCGCGACCAGGTCGATGTTA